CACACTGCCCAACACTCGCCGTCGTCGATCGTCTTTCCTCTCCGATTTCTCGCGTTTGTGGTGTTTGGATCTCATCTGCTTCTCCAGTTCGCCGGTGTCCTTGAGATTTTTCGGTATGTATATCTCATGAGCAATTTTCATCTCGTCTTGGCGGGCCGCCCACTGCACAATTTCGTGCACCGGGGCATGGGAGCTGCGGACTGCACAATCAATTCGGCCACCGCCCGTCTGCTACGCGATGTGCGTCCATCGCCTACTGACGTCGTCGTCTGCACGGACTTGGTCGCGCGGCCTGCAGCAGCGCGGCCACCAGCCCGAGCCAGCGTCGCGCATCCCGACGCGCTCTCACTGCCGTGGGTGTTGCGAGCACCTGTCGTGACATGGGCCTCGTGCGCCCGCCGCATGTGATGCCTGACATGAAAACTACGGTACTGACCCGCCCACTCAGATTTCGTTCGAGCTTCCTCACGGTCACTCCTTCGCTCTCCCTCACCCACACCCACTCCTTCGTGCGCGACCTGGAGTTACTGTCGCCGCTTTTCCCGACTATCTCCTAGCCGTGTTCCTTGGCCTGTACTCTCTACTGCCTCCGCGACTGCAGTGATAGAAGGAGCCGGATCTAATCGGTAAGTGCAGCCTGCCACCCTTCCAGCTCCTTCACCCTGCTCCCGCTGCCTGACCTCCTGCGCGCACACTCACCGGAACTAACAATTGCTTTTTCGGCGCAGACTATATAAACGACGCTACGGTTCTCTATCATAATTAGAGCTCATACCCTTACTCCCCACCTCCGTTAGCTCAATCGACTACCCCGCTTGATCTATCAGTCATGTCTTTCAACAACAGCTACGGCGACCAATTCCAAGGCCAGCCCCAGGGCGACATGAACAACCAGACCCCGCAGCCCGGCGACATGGGTCAGCCCATGGACGCTTCCGGCAACGGCTTCCCACCCCAGGGCAACATGGGCCCGCCAGGCAGCGCTGGTGGTGACGGCCAAGGCCAGGGCGCGGGCAAGACGACTCTCTGGTGAGTCTGCGGACGCACCCGAGTTGCGAGTTGCGCATCTCAGATGGCGATATGCGCGCTCGGGTGACTTTTTACTAGGTGGGGCATATCGATGCTAACACAACGCAGGATGGGTGAACTCGAGCCCTGGATCGACGAGAACTTCGTGCGCAGCATCTGGTACAACATGGGCGAGACTGTCAACGTCAAGATGATCCGCGACAAGTTCTCCGGGTAAGCACGGAATTCACACAGGAAAAAGTCTCCAGGCTAACTACCGCATAGCAGCAATGCTGGATATTGCTTCGTCGACTTCGCGAGCCCTGATGCTGCGTCCAAGGCCCTTAGCCTCAACGGCCAACTCATCCCCAACTCCAACCGCCCGTTCAAGCTGAACTGGGCCTCTGGCGGTGGTCTTGCTGACAGGAGGCAAGTCTCACCCGGCTATCCACATACGACAGTGATCACTAACGACTCGAACAGCCGCGATGAGCGTGGTCCCGAATTCAGCATCTTCGTCGGAGACTTGGGCCCCGAGGTCACCGAGTTCGTCCTCGTACAACTCTTCCAGAACAAGTACCAGTCCACCAAGTCCGCCAAGATCATGTCCGACCCTATCAGTGGTATGTCGCGCGGCTACGGTTTTGTCCGGTTCGCTAGCGAGGAGGACCAGCAAAAGGCCCTCACTGAGATGCAAGGCGTCTACTGCGGCAACCGCCCCATGCGTATCTCCACCGCCACACCCAAGAACAAGAGCGGTGGTCCCGGAGGTCCCGGCGGAATGGGCGGCATGCCCCAAGGCGGCGGCGGCCCCGGTATGGGCATGTACTCGATGGGCGCTCCTCCCATGGGTGGCTACTACGGTGCTCCCCAGCCGATGAACCAGTTTACTGACCCGAACAACACTACCGTCTTCGTCGGCGGTCTGTCCGGCTACGTCACCGAGGACGAGCTCCGCTCTTTCTTCCAGGGCTTTGGCGAGATTACATACGTCAAGATTCCCCCAGGCAAGGGTTGCGGCTTCGTTCAGTTCGTTCAGCGCCACGCTGCCGAGATGGCCATCAACCAGATGCAAGGCTACCCCATCGGTAACTCTCGCGTCCGTCTTAGTTGGGGTAGGTCCCAGAACAACTCCGGTCCAGCCGGCACCCCTTACCGCCCTGCACCACCTCCACCAGTTCCCTTCGGCCCAGGTATGGGTATGCCCCCGCAACACCCCTACGGCGGTGGCGGTGGCTACGGCCCGATGATGAAGGTAAGTCAACAAGACATGTTGCGGTTTTGTGTCTGATGCTAACTCGACTGTAGTAAGCGCATTCTTTCCCTCTGTATTGCTTGCACGGCGCTTCTGTCATGGTTCATCCCGTTGGCTTACTGCAACGATCCCTTTCATGACTCGGCATGACGAATTTCGAGCGATTTGGTCTTTAGTTCTATAACGGGCGGTTCTCCAAAAGTTCTCGACTTCTTCTCACGACACTCATCTTGCTGGAGGGCCATAGAAGGGAGTCTTTGTATAACAGGCCATCTATTCTCCCATTCGGGCTTTCTTTCTAAGCGTGCCACTCATCTTTCTGGGAGCATAGGGATGTAGCTAGTCATGCATGGGCCGGATGCTGCTTTCTCTCGACTTGCCTTTTCTTCACGATTGTGCGCTGCTCCTTGCAGGATTGGCCATCATTTCCAATCACACGATTCTTCTATTTCTGCGTGTTTGGTTGCGTGCTTGCTTGCTGGCTTGGTTGATTCGTCTAACGTTCTGTTCCAAGTGCCTTGTAGTATTTCCTTTGTTAGTTTGTCGTTGGTTCTATTAGCACGCGCAGAGTCTACCACCTCGTTACCCTCCTTAGACATCTTGCTAACGTCATTGTGTAGCAACTTTCCCGTCCAGGCTGGCCAGCCTTCCCCTTACCCGCCGTCGATGAACGCAAGCCTCGGTGGTCAGCGACCCGGCAGTCAGAACGCTCCTACGGGCAACCCTGCCGGCCAGAACGGCACTCCCACGTTCAACAACTACCGTTTCACCCCCACCCAGCCCAACGGCCCCAACAGCCCCGGCTTCGGCTCGCCCGACTTTGGCGGTGCCTTCTCGCAGCAATTCCCTCCACCGCAGTAACTGCGCATCGTACGCTCTCGCATTGGTTATACGCATATCAGATACTGTTTTGCCGCTTTAGCAAGGAGTTCTTGGGGCATGAAACTTCATTATCACGACGTGGCTATATTCTTTAACTGGGGAATGAAGGCATAATGCTTTAGCGAGGCGTCTGGCGAACAAGAATTATATGGTATACCCATGCAGCAAGAGAAGGCGTCAAGAGTCTGTTTCATTTCTATCGTGGCGGGAGGTTCGCGTCTTTGCTAGAAGATTGCACTTCTTTTGAGGTTTTGCGTTGAGTTGCTGCGTGCGCTGTGGGTATTTCGGGAGATGTCTATCGAAAGAAACGTCGCAGACTGATGGTTAGTGGGTTCTAGTACAAGGTCGCTGCAAAGGTCCATGGAGGGTACATCACAGACTGACGGACAGTGAGTTTTTAGTAGAAGGGCTTTCTGAGAGATGCTACATGAGCATGCGGCAACATGCGTTTTGATCTAGTCATGCCCATCTTATACAATTTACACTTCATCGCATTTGCAAGAACCTTTGACGATGTGAGTTGCCTCGCGCCATGACGTTGCGCCGCGATAATCGTGCCTTCCTCATCACTGGACCTCGGGCGTACCCGCCGTCGCTCATCCTTCAACCCTCATAAACAATGGGCTTCTTCCTCCTCTCCACAAACACATCCGGCACAACTGCCAATTGCTTGTTGCTCTTTTGGACCCGAACAGCAGCAATCGCACGCCTGCCATGCGCTACGACGATTGGGACGTGATCCTCTTCCCTAAGGACTCTCATGTACCCATACAGGAGTTCAAGACCGCCTGTTATGTCTCACCTGAAGAGTGTGAGTACCCTGCTCTACCCCACCTGCATGCAGGCGTCTTATACCTGGGCGTCAATACTGATACCATGTAGATGGCCGCCAGTTGCCCACTTTGACCTCTTACATCAGCACTCTCCCGCCGTCCACACCGTTCCGTATCTCCGTACACTCATGGGCCACTGCATCGAAAGCCTCGGCACTGATCGAGTCCCGGCGGAAGGCGAATCAGAAGGTCGTATACACAGTCCAGGTCATTGTCGACGGGGCTAGAGTCTTGTGAGCTTCACACCATGGGCTGTGGACATGGGACCGCGATGCTGATTAGCATAGTCGTGGCTTCTTCGACATAACGTCGAAATGGCCCCAAGAGATTGGTATGTCCCACCCAAGTCAATGATGCATCACCGTTGGACTGACGATGTGTAGCGCAAGAGAAGAGATCACTCGCCATCAACGAGTATCCATCAAGTCAACGGAAACAATGCCTCGAGTTCCCGCCCTTTCATCAGCGGACCCTCATGCAGAACTCATGGAATGCTCACGACCCCCAAGGACGAATAAAGATAATGTTGTCGGAACAATTGATCATGAAGACGACAAGTCCTGGAGAGGTAGATCTTGGCACGACCAACGACATTGTTTGCTTCTCCTTCCAGCATGCTCCGAAAGGTACATCGAAGGAACTCACACCCCTCATATATGGATCCCTAATAAGAAACAGATGTCCTAGAACAGGCGGGCATCTCATGGCCCATCAGAAACCCTCTATACCTTCCCAATGCGCTCGAGCGAGCCACGCACCTGTCACAAATATCCCCGACGAACTCTCGGACACCGAAGGCCCGACCCTTCCCAGGCGATATCAATATGCAGTCGCCAATCTCGCAAACATCGGCATCCGCCTTTGCTAGATCGCAGATTCCCTTACCCAATCGACGCTCTAACGCGCATCTGCCCCCCATCTCACAATTTGCGAAGCCACTGCCAGGTTTCAGAAACAACGGTCGCCCAGGCATATGGGATGACAATCTCAACTCCCTTGTAGATTCTGCCGACGACGTTAGCATGGATACATGGTCAACAAGAAGAACGTCGGGCTCCATCAGCGACATGGCCATGCCTGACTACATGTATGCTTCTTCACATCTGTCACGGAAAAGTCAACCATGGATGCCTGAAAGGTCCCAATATGACCAAGGCATGAGTACAGAATGGGAAGATCATCCGCCGAGGAAGGAAAAAGAGAAACAGCTCGTTGTCACCCTTCGAGATGACCAGCTAGGGCAGATTATCCAAGCTATGAGTCCACCGAAGCAGAATCGTGAGCTATCGCATGGATCGGGCAATCAACGCCATGAGAATACTGGTCGCCTACCGACTGCTTACAACTACTGTCCCCCAAAGTCAGACATCAATCCCCCTATCAACCGCCCGTCGTCGGCGGCCATGGCGCGCAAGCCATCATACTCGGACTTCAATAATGCCCTACGGAACGCATCGAATAAGCAGTCACCAATTAATCAGCGGTTCCACGATGCGATGAATGACAAACAGCCTACGATGAATCACCCTTCCTTCTCAAACAACAAAGAGAATCGTCCACCTTCGCAATCGCGATTGCCTACTGCGTTTCCAAACGCGAACCGTGTTCCGACGCCGAACCCCTTCGCGCAAAGGCTTCCAACCCATAACTCAGATGTTTCCATGAGAGACCCATCTCCGGCACGTTCAAGTATGTACAGGTTCAGTCGGAGCGAAGCGCCACCTCCGACCATTGAGCCTGCTAAGTTTGGGTCAGCTCACGGCCCTTCAGCTGTGAACATCAGGAGCCGGAAGGAAGGCCTGGCATCCGACTCACCGAGGCTGTCTGATCAAGCAATGCGCCATGATCAGAGCTTGCTGCCATCGTTAAACTCAGGTCCTCGGACTGCACACATACCCATCTTTGAGGATAAAGACGACTCCTTGCACAATACCCAGAAGAATATCCCTGATGTAGTGGAGATCATCGATGTGGATGCCATCGACCCCCACCTACACACCAATGCTTCCTTCGAGAGTAACAAGCTCTCTCCGTTTAAGCCCTGCCACAAGACTGGAGTGTCGCTTTCAAGCATCGACAGTACCGGCCGTCTGGAGAGACAGCTCTACAGTGCCCTTGGCGAGGAATTGGGCAGCTTTGAACACCATATCGACACTACAGGCATGGGACCTGAACTCGCACAAGCACTTGGTGGTGCCACGGCACATTCCGACCTCAGCGGCTCCGGTATGCTGAACCCAAACGCTCACGAATTTGAGCCAACAATCAAGCGGAAGAGGCAGAGTACCATGGGTGGCAGTCGGGAGAGAAGTCCGATGACTAAGAAAGAGAAGGCTGACTTGCGAGCTGGCGACGAGCAGGAGGAAGTGGTGGTGTGTATGAGGGGGGATTGAGCGTATTCTTAGTCTGTCGATGCTTTCTGGAGGACTATGGGCTAGTCTTTTAGCGTTTGTTTTCTGAGCGTTCTAAGCGTATTGTTGTACTTGTCAGTCTTTTAGGGCTAAGACTGGGTCTTACTTGTTGTATGAATAGTCAGTAGCTCGTATGAATATCGAAGCACAAACTCTGTCTCTGAGAGCCAAGAGGATATCACGTTCACTGTCAGGAGACATATATTCACAAAGCAGAACAAGCTTTCAGAGTATCAGGGCTAACTGCTCAATTTCTTTCTCTAATAAACGAAATACCCCTGCGTCAACGGCAGCGTCTCCGCCGGCTCAGCCTCACATACCATACCATCCGCCTCGACCGTATACCTCTCGGGATCGACCTTCATCTTCGGCTTCGTATCATTGTATTTCATATCCTTCTTACCGATATTCCTACAATTCTTGACGGCCTCAACGCGCTTGCGCAAGCCATAAGACTTGACGACGCCAGACGCAATAGACGCTTGCGAGACGAAAGTGATGCTGGAGGAAGGCACCATAGGCGCGAACATGGGGCGCATGATGATGGGTTCGACGGTGGGGATTGAGGCGTTGGGATCGCCCTGTGCAATGTTAGACGAACTGCTGAGCTGGAGACAGAGAAGAAGAGGAGAGGGAAAAGGGAGAGAAAACATACCATCTGAGCATACGAGCAAAACCCACTCTTAACCACCAAACTCGGCTTAACCCCAAAGTTCCTCGGCGTCCAAAGCACAAGATCCGCCACCTTGCCCACCTCCACACTCCCCACCAGATGACCCATCCCCTGCGCTATCGCCGGGTTAACAGTATACTTACTGATATACCGTTTCACCCTAAAGTTATCCGCATCCGTGCCCTCGTCTTCCTTGAGCGTACCGCGCTGCACTTTATTCTTATGCGCGGTATTCCACGTGCGGAGGATGACTTCACCGCAGCGGCCCATGGCTTGCGAATCAGAGGACATCATGGATATAGCGCCGAGGTCGTGTAGGACGTCTTCCGCGGCGATGGTCTCGGCGCGGATGCGGGATTCGGCGAAGGCGACGTCTTCGGGGATGTTGCGGGAGAGGTGGTGGCATACCATTAGCATGTCGAGGTGCTCATCGAGCGTGTTGCGTGTGTAAGGGCGAGTGGGGTTCGTAGACGAAGGAAGTACATTGTCGAGTTCGACGACGCTGATGATGTCGGGGGCGTGGCCGCCGCCTGCGCCTTCAGTGTGGTACGTGTGGATGGTTCGCCCTTTGATGGCGGCGATGGTGGACTCGACGAAGCCGGATTCGTTGAGCGTGTCGGTGTGGATGAGCGTTTGGATGTCGTATTCGTCGCAGACTGTTAGGCAGGCGTCGATGGCGGCGGGGGTGCTGCCCCAGTCTTCGTGGAGCTTGAGACCGCAGACGCCGGCTTCGGCTTGTTGTTGCAAGGGGCGCAGTTCGGCGTCGTTGCCTTTTCCTGTTATGCCGTAGTTTACGGGGAGTGTGTCGATGGCTTGGAGCATTTGTCGGATGTGCGTCTTGCCTGGAGTGCAGGTTGTTGCGTTTGTACCCGTGCTAGGTCCTGTGCCGCCACCGAGCATAGTTGTGATGCCTGATGCTATAGCTTCGTGTGCTTGTTGGGGACAGATGAAATGGATGTGGGAGTCGAAACCGCCGGCTGTGACAATCTTGTGCTCAGCAGAAATGACATCGGTGCATGAACCGACTACCAAGTTGGGGTCCACACCGTCCATGACATCTGGATTGCCTGCCTTGCCAATGCCCACGATCATACCATCTTTGATTCCGATGTCCGCTTTGTAGATGCCAGACCAGTCGATAATCAAAGCATTAGTGATGACAGTGTCCAGCGAGTCTTTGTCTGATACACCGCCAGCTTGTCCCATGCCTTCTCTTAGTGTCTTGCCTCCCCCGAAAGCGCACTCATCGCCGTATATGGTCATGTCCTTCTCAACCTTGATCCAGAGATCTGTTGCACCCAATCTAACCAGGTCACCAGTCGTCGGACCAAACATGCTGATATAGGACAGTCGCTCCATGGTGCAGATGTCGATGTATGCAGCGTCACCATGCGGTTCAGGCTCGTGAAGGAAGCCGCCAGACTTCAGTCTCTCCACGATGCCATTCGCAACCGACATGTCCTCAATGAAGCCCGAGGCGATCTGGTTTCCGCCCTTTATAATCTTATTACCACCAATCTGTACCAGGGTGACTGTCTTGGTATCGCCGGGTTCGAAGCGCACCGATGTGCCTGCGGGAATATCGAGGCGGTATCCATGAGCTCGTACGCGGTCGAATTGGAGTTGCGGGTTCGTCTCGATGAAGTGGTAGTGCGATCCGACCTATATCTTGTGAGTCGCATGCCCTGTAATGTGATGATACTTACATACCTGAATCGGTCGATCTCCCATGCTCTTCACCTTGAGCTTGATCCTCTTGCGCCCCTCGTTCAGCTTGATTATACCAGCCTCTCCCTTGACCGCCACAATCGCGCCTGGCTGCTTCGTGCTCTCGTAAACACTCGAATCGGGTAGTGGGAACATGTCGTTCGATGGAATTGGCAGGAACGATCCGTATAGCGCCTTCTCAAGGTCGCCATCGTCGGTGGACACTGGGTTGTGGACGGTAACGAGGTATGTGCCGGTTGGGAAGGTGCCTTCAACCATCAGCTCGCCGAGCGAGGCGACAACAGAGGGCTGTACATGGCGACGACCAAGCATCGTCGTGCCAATGGACATGAGGTCGGCGACCGAGTGTTTTCCATCGCGGATAAGCTGTATGCATTCAGCATGCGACCGAGGATGCGCGCGAAGTCGGAGGTCGTACTTCTTGGAGGTTATTCGCGATCAAAGCCTGGGAGTATTAGCAGCGTCCACGCGATATCATGCGAGACTCACAGTAGCTTCAGCATGATTCAGCTTCACTCCCCTTGCCAGCCGACGTTGCGCAAGGAGTCCCAGCTGCGATATGACGAGCTTGTCAAGCTGTGACGCGATGGTCAGCAGGGGCAGCACGCGTCCATGGCACCATGTTACACACCTCCTTTGGACACAACTGCATATTGTAGAATCAGAAGCAGCCAAGATCTGGAGCGATACAACGCGTCTCCAGATTGTATTTGAATCCCCACCATCCTCCAGTCCGACTCTACCGACTCTACCGCTACAGGCCTCACCTCTTTGGGCCATGCTGCGGGGTTCGCTTGCGATAAAGACGCGCGCTGATAAGGAGCTTACGTCCGCGGCAACGCGCTCTCGACCTTCATCCACGACATTCATGGACGCAATTCTAGGCACATGTCTTCCGGCAGACCATTCAGGTGTCGCGAACCTGCGCGTGCCTGTCGTGGTTCGAGCTAACCTCAGCATGACGTAGGGGTTATTGGTTTCAACACCAGCACCACTGAGACATGCAGATCCACGCCTTATTCGGCCTATGCCACCAACCTTCTTACCTATCTTGCTCCTATCCTACCTGACGCGTCTCAGGCCTTCGTCCCTTCTCCTTTTTCAACACTCCTGCATCGTGTCGCAGCCATGATAAGCCCAGATCCAGACTCACCAGGAATACCGCCGTAGCCGGTAGCGTCGATGACAACGCGGGCACGCACCACGTCTTGATACTCTGTGACCGTCAACCCGCGCGTCTAGTGAACGCCATCTTCGACATAACTCTACGTTACGATGCACTCATTGATGCGACATCTGAAGGGAGAGAACGATGAGCCCGAACCTGAACAGCAAACATCTGACCCACCTGTTAAGAGAAGTCGAGTAACGATCAAACCTCCACCCAAAGATCCGAATATACCGAGGAAGCGACTCCAAATCAACAAAAAATGCCTCTATGAGCGCCGGCTACCTGGGAACGCGTACATCTCCGCCCATGTTAATCGACTTCAACACGGCTACTACAGGTCGAACGCGCTTCACGAACCAGATATTAACAACCTTTTCTTCGTTTCGGTGCACTTTGTCTTTCATCCTCACGACCCAGAGTCGCACCGTTTCAAGAGCGCTGAGATTGAAGTCACCGTTCATGGCGATGATGGTGACCCCAACACACCCCGGAAACCAGGCGCGTCGCATCCGCGCATCTTGAAGCATGCGCCAGAGCTGATGTTCGGATCTGTGTCGCCAGAGAACCTGCAGTGGAACTTCAGCTTATCGAGCTCCCTAGGCGTATCGCAGGCGCCCGTATCTGCTTCACTGAACCCGAAAGCAGCTATGAAGAGCAGCTACAAAGTCTTCCACATGATGAGCATCCAAGGATCGGTGCGATCGAAGCGAAGCCCACACGGATCAGAGTACGATGTCGAAGACGCCAAGGCCGTCTGGACACTCACGGAGAACATGCTCCAAAAATCAGGCTTGCCACGAGAATTCGACTTCGTCCTACTTGTGCAGAAGCCGGAAGATTGCGAGAATATATACATGTCAGTCGACCTGAACGCGGATGTCGGAGCCTGGTACGGCACGTATCCCCAGTGGTACACGAATCTCTCCAAGTATATGCCGAACCAAGATTGTATGCTCAGTTTCGAACACGACATTGGGCAGAGGTTCCTTCCAAGTCGGCCAGGGCATGGATTCAACTTCGCCAAACTGATGCATACGCTGGATGAATACGTCATGATGCCGGGAACTGTGTATCCAACACGAGTAAGCCATTCTCACTGAGAAACTTACATTATAAGCTAACCACTGTAGGGCACACGGCAAGGGGAAATCAACAATCCAAACCTAATAGAGTATGAAGCAGCCGACGGGGGTAAAGCCATCGAAGCTGCTCCATCCTCACCCCCACCTAAGCAGCCCAGTACGCCCCCAGATAAGAGCAAGTCGCCCAAAGGAGATTCATCTCAACAACATCGCCATAGCTCGGTGCCAGAGAACGTGAACATTCGGGTCGTGCTGGAACATCAGTACCCGCAAGGCTCTGATCCGCGACGCTTCTCGTATTCTCCTCTAAGCAACTTGGAGCCTGTGC